GCGAGGTGCCTTTCAACAAGAATCTTCCAACACATCTGTTATAAATTGATTGCACTAATGCTCTGATCCATGGCCTCCTTGTAGCCACATGTTTTGCAGTATGACTTTGCAGTGTCTCCCATCAAAATGTAGGATATATTTCCCGTCCTTTAAGTCTGGGCTGCTCTTGGCCAACAGTATAAGGTGTAACGATAGAGAGACAGTTCTAGGTCTATGCCTCAAGAAGCCTTGTGAGCATCTGCTGTTACTCAGATCCCTGCCAGGCCTGGACTAAGAACCTGGAGGCATGTGAGGGACACACAGTAAGAGACTTCAGTCATCCCAGCCATCCTAGATGAAGGCATCATAGATTCTAGCTGATCTGTTAACCACAGACACTTGCCTGAGTCCAGTCATGCTCAACTGAGCCCTGCCCAAATCAGCAGATGTACTAGTCAATGGCTGGAATAATGAGAAATAATAAATGCGTGTTGTTTTAAGCTAATGCATTTTGGAGTGTGTGTGTGTGTGCGTGCGTGCATGTGTGTGTGTGTGTTTTAAATGCATCAATGCATGTGTGTGTGTGCATGCGTGCATGTGTGTGTGTGTTTTAAATGCATCACCTGAAATAACCAAACTGAAATAACCAAAATGTAATTTTCTTTTTAATTAGAGGTTGATAAAGCCAAGGCGTTTATTGTTTCATTTATTAGTCAGTGTCTCCATTTGGACAAATTGTTCCCTAGATTTGCTGTATAGCTGTCATCTCGGGATGTCTCTTCATCATCATTTTAGGAATCTCCTTTATTTTGCTTTCTGAATTTCATGCCTTCCCTTTTCTTGGTAACACCCTTGTTTTGATGGAGTACATCCTTTGGGAGTCTTCTGAGAATAGATGAATAGGTTTGGAGTCAATGCATATTTCAAGTGTCTTCATTCTACCCTTTCACTTAATTTGTGGTTTAGCCAAGTTAAGGTTCTAGCTTGAAAACAGTTCCCTCAGAATTTCTAAGGCACTGTTTCAGGGTCTTCTATGTGGCTGTTGAGAAGTCTGATTCTATTCTGATTCTTGATTTTCTACATTATCTTTTTTTTTTTTTTTAAATCTAGAAGCTTATAGAATAATCTCTTTGCCCCAATTGTTATATATTTTTTTAAATGATGTGCTTTAGTGTGGGTCTGTTTTCATTCACTGTGTTAAGCACTCACTTGCTTCTTTTAGTGTAGATATTCATGTTTTTCAATTCTGGGAAATTTTTAAAAATTCATTTCTTAGATAATTTCTTTCTTTTCATTTTCTCTAGTTTTCTCTTTCCTCAAATCCTATTATTTGCTTGTTAGATTTTTCTACAATGATTCTCTACTTATCTTTTCTCCTCTGTTTCTGTTGCTTTTTATTCACTCTATTTTCTGAATATTTCAACTTTATTTTCCAGACCTTCTATTGAGTTTATTTTTAAATAGGTAGTTTCAGCTTTGGATTTTAAAGAGCTCCCCTTTTTCTAAGGTGTTCTCTGAATGTTCCTTTTTTATCTTAGCATTGCATTCTTGTTTCCTAGATATACTATCTCTTCTTACCTTACTGAGGTCATTAATGATCTTTTTATTATTATTATTATTAAAAGTTCTTTTCTCTGTGAATTGTCTCTTCTTCTCATGTGTAATAGTGAGCCACAGAAAGCTAAGAGCCTTGTGTGGTCCTGGTGGGGCTTGAGATATGATACTCACTGTAGATTATTTTGCTGGGTCATTTCCTTGGGGACTTATTGTGCTAGTATTTTTAGGGTTTTCTCTCAGGCTTACCAGGTTCCCCAGAAAGACCGAACTTCTGCCTGGAAGACACTTTGCATGCTTGGCTGTCAACATTCTGGAAGCCAAGGCTGGGGAGAAGGCTAGGCAGTCTCAACATTCCTTATGCATGGTTTCGCTTTTCAGTACGGTATTTTCAATGTCCATTGCATGTGCCTTGTTGCCCTTCAGTCAGAGAGTCTTTATTTTGCCCTCTTTAGAGAACAAACTTCTGGTCATTTGCTGGAATTGGGAAAGAACAGTGACTCAGCTATTTAGAGATGGGAAGGAGATCTTGGGTTCTAATTACGTCTCAAATAGGTTTTAAACCCATCTTCTTAATTTTGCACTGCCTTCTCTGCCATATCTGGAGATAGCTGATGCTCCCAGTTCCTGAGCCTTTGAAGAGTTCTGCTGCACAAATCTGTTTGCTTCTCAACTTTCCCCACTGCTGGGTTAGGATTTAACTTTCCCAAATTTACTCGGTTGGTTATCTATGAACTGTTACTTTCCAGATTTTTGTCTTTTTGAAATACCTCTCTACTGTCCTTTTAGAGGCTTGTGTGAGGGAACGGATGTATGTTCACTCTTCTCTCTTTACTTGGAAGTCCAGGAGTAGTTCTCGGCTTTTGAAGAGCTAACACTTCATGATATCTTATTTAGTTTGAAATATGTGGAGCACACACCTCCTACGAGAATTTAAACTTCCTTCAAAAGGAGACTTGCACGTGATAGAAATTCAGGTAGTTTTTTCTTTTAGAAAAAATAAGATGAGCGTAAAGCTTCAGCCACCTCATAAACCTTTAACCCTGTGCTTCTAAATCACCCAGACAGCCGGGTAATCGCAGCCCTGCCCCTCCCAGATTCCCGCTCCTTTAAATCAGACTGCTGGGTCCATTTCTTTTAAATTTTTAATAATAATTTTTTAATTTTTCTAATAAGTGCTTTTAACTGGGCAGTATACGTATCATGCTTTCGTCATTATTACTGGTCCATCAATAAATATACAAAAATCAGAGGAAGGGTGTGCTGTGAAAAATCAAAGTAGCAATTGTCATTGTATGTGCATGAACAATGAACTAGTCTTTGAAAACTCAAAGTGATTTATAAAAGGCATGCTTATGACATAAAAGTGAGTGGACCATGTTATTCTTATTCGTAAGTACGTTTTACTCTTCTAGAGAAGTCAGAGTTTTCCTTTCTCTTACTCCTGTACTAGAATTTAATGAACGTTGGCCATGAAATTGATTCATGATGTCATGGTCTCGATGTAAAACCTTTTGAGAGGTTTTGCTGGAGAAATCTATTTTGCAGGGTAGAATCTGCAAAAAATAAATGGATAAGAAGGTGTCTTTTGTTCCATTTTATTTTCATCCAGTGCTCATTTAAAAGAAGCCCTCAAGAGCCAGGAGAGATTTGA